GGATATGTTCTGTAGGGAACGGATGTGTTCTGTAGCAACCCACACGGCCTGACTGGTCGTGTTACGCACTGACCCAGCTTCACCACCTTCTCATGACCATTCCATTATTCTGCGGGTCCGCGGAGGCTGCGGTGGCCTTCGCGAGGCCTCCGTCCGTCCACGGCGGAAGGCCGGTCCGTCCACGGCGGAAGGCTCGTCTCTGTCCAGGACGGAACAGATCCATCGGCCACGTCCGGACCGCGGGCTGGGAGCGGTCCGCCAGCCGTCTGGTGCTGGTGACGAGCTGGACACGGACTGGTGGCGGCAGCGGGCTGGGGAGCTGAGAGCTGCAGCTGAGCCATTGGGGAGCTGGGGAGCTGAGGAGATGGAGAGCTGGGAGCTGGGGAACTGAGGAGCTAAGGAGCTGAGGAGCTGATGAACTGTGGCTGTGGGACTGACACGATCTGTTTTCTTCATGAGGTCACACTCGCATTACTTTCATGAATTAGCTAGTGGTTCTATTACCTCGAGATTAACTAGCCATCACTCTGTCTAATTCATTCTCATGGAACTGCTCTCTTGGCGCGATCCTTTTAGGGAGAACTGTGTCTAGATATCAGTCTAGATATTACCGTGGAACTGCGTGTTGCTGTCTGCCGCCCGTCCTGCGGGTCTCTCGGTGTCTTACTGGTCTCTCGGAACACCCCGGCCCCCGGGGAGGTCGGGACGCCGACTCTCGCCCCGTCACGACCATTAGGTGGGCGACTCATCAAGACGGCGCCCCCGGGGAGGCACCTCCAGGCGCCGCTCGGCCGTCCAGAGGAACTCAGTGACGTCACAGGTGTCTTCTCGGGGGAGGTGACCGGCTGTCTCGGCACTGCGGACACTGCGCACGACGCAAAGGGTCAGCTGATGCTGTACCGGAATGTATTACAGATGACCTTCTGGCAAAGGTAGCCGGAGTTACCATAGCCCTAGGCTACTTGTCACAATTCAGACATGCTCTTGTTGCGGAGTCATAACGAGAAGCCTGTGGAAGCGAAAGTCTTGTTGTTTTCCTTTTTTATGTCGGCATATCCTCTCAATTACTGAATCGTTTCTTTTTTATTGAATTTGCATAACTTTAACTGGTGTTTGGTTTGTTTTTGTTTTCCGAAAGACTGAAACTGAAGACATTATTATATCGCTTCCTGACTATTTGACCTTCAAGAGTCCATTAGCTTAGGAAATGGGTGAGCAAAAACAATGTGTCAAATTTATGGCTACAAAGGTAAAACATGAAATATGTACAGTGTACTCCAAAACTTTTTAAGCTTGTTAACCCGCGCCCTGCTGGGGGTCCTGGATTTCCACGCCCTGCTGGGGGGGGGGGGTGTTTGAACACCCCCCCCTTGTAACTCGGCTCCTGGGCTACGTAGCGATACGCGGAAGGCGGCGTTCGAAAGAGCGTCAAAAATAATGACGAAATCACTTCGGTCAATTTTTTGGTCAGGTCAAAGGCCAGGTCACCAGAGGTCATTGAAGGCAAAATTTCGCCAATTTCCAGGTCGAATGTCGAAAATTTCCAAGAAGCCAACCCATAACTCGGGAACCAATAGAGCTACAGCGCCGCGGAAAAGCGCATTCGATAGCCCTATTAACGCCCTTTCTGAGTAATTCTCTCAGATTTGACCTAACGTCAACGGTTTTGCCTGCAGGGGGCAAAAACTGCAAAAATAGCCGATTTTTTTCGAAAACAGTTTTTCTGCAATAACTTTTGACCCAAGCCTTGTACAAGCTTACTTTTACCGGCATCGTGTTCCTCTCGTCAAGACGCATCGAACGAACTATAACTTGACCTTGAAAGGTCAACTTGAAAATTTGACCTCAGGTCAAGGTCATGACCTGACCGGAAAGGGTCATGTTGCATATCAGTCGATCCGTATCGTCGAGCTGAACACATCTAAGGCGTTTTCATCGCTCTAGCATGCCTCTATCAAAAGTTATTTGCGAAAAACTGTTAGATACCATTCGTGACCTAAGATGACCTCAGGGCATAAACAAGGGTCACGGACACCATTTTCAAGTTCAGTGTGTCTAAACCACTTGTAATTCGGTGTTTGGGAGTGTTTATAATGTCTTTCATCCAAAAGAGGCGCATTTCAATTTTCTCCCATTGACTTATAATGGGGAGGTCGCAAAATTGACCTGACCTTAGGTCATCGATATCAAAATTCTGAGATATACATTTTGTACATGCTATTGCTCTTAGCAATCGCTGAAAGTTTCAAAGCGATCGGTCACTCGGTGTAGCTATGACAGACATTGAAAGTTTTTATGAGGTGAGGTCACTTCAAGTGACCTGGTGACCTGACCTTGAATGACCTTGGTCTGAAATTTTCACAACATGTGTAGAATTGATGTATGATAAGGTGTACCAAAAACGGCGGCGCTCCGCGCCGCCGTTTTTGAGATATTCGCGAAAAACCACAAGGGGGGTGTTCAAACACCCCCCCCCCCCCCAGCAGGGCGCGGGTTAAAAGATCAATCACATTTCACATCCGCCAGTCTAACTATAGGTTTGCTTTGAGCATAGCCACAGCTAGCTGTAGGTAATGCCATTGTGTTCGGCGAGCTTTGTTTGTCTGACACCTTATGCTGTTACGAGTAACAACACTGATCTCTACTGGAGTCTCATTATGATGTTTACTAAAATAATTATATTTATTTGCATACTTTTTAATGTTATGTCAGGATAAGTGAAACATTTGAAACATCCTCAATCAGTGAAGCGGCGGCTGTATACCCAATATACGTGGCTTGAGGGGAGGGAGGGGGGCGTCATCCGCCCCGTTTTGGACGGGCACACTTTGATGTGATAAAATTGATGCCCTGTCACAGCGCTAAGGACATTTATTGCAAATAATGATGGGAGGAGAACAAACTCTGACGGAATATCATGGGCTCTGGCTTGTTAGCTCTTGTGTATAGCAAAATATTTCACAGGTCACGAACAACCAATGTGCACGCCACCGTCAAGTCGTCTCCCTTCCAAACAACGCTTACCAACAATAGCGTGGTCCAAATTTATTTATACACTGCACGACAATGCCATCAGAGAAAATTGCAGATGACAGCAAAGCCATGCTCCGAGAGGTCGGCGCGTTAGGCATGCATGAATGGCCCGCAGGCCTTGTTTGCCGGCCTTTGGACGTGGAGCACGCGACGAAGTGGCCCATTCGCTGGGAGTTTGACACAAAAGCCCGGGTGGCATCCGAAATCCGTTGACCTTAGGACGGATCGTCCGTCAAGCTGGCCGATAAGTCCGCCGGCATTCGGCGTGATTGGACGTGAAGCCTTGTCACCATAAATCCGCAGGGAAAACGGTTCTATGTGCAGTGCAAAACAGCCCCGAATTTCAAAAGCTGAATGGTGTTGCGCGTCACTTGCACAAATTAATAATTACACATCTTAACCCTCGCCCCGTTGGGGGGGGGGGGCATTTTGGCCCCCCTGTGGTTTTTCCTGAATAGCAAGAAAACGGCGGCGCGCAGCGCCGCCACATTTTCAGTACCTTCTCGGGCATCAATTTTACACCTTCACACCAAATTTCAAGTCTTAGGTCACCGTAGGTCAGGAGTTATTGAGGTCAAACTGAGGTCATGTTCGAGCAAAAATGAGCAAAAAACATGCAAACTTGAAACGCTCACCAAATCTACAGTTATCAAGCAATTTCAAAGTTCTTTATATGTTCTAGTAGACAAAAAGCGGCGCTACAAAACTGCTATCTCGGATTTTCAAAATTTTGGGTTTTTGACCCAAAAAAAAATCTTTTTTTTTTAGAAAAACTAAAAAAAATCCAAAATTTTTCCGAATTTCGAAAAAACCGGAATATATGTGATAGTCCCTGCGCTCTTCTATATACATACCAAATTTTAGATCGATATCTCGTTTTTTGGCCAAGTTATAGCGAAAAAACTGTTCAAAATGATGACGTCAAATTTTTGAACTCAATTTTTAGCGATTTCAGACCTCTTACGGCAAAACAAAGACCACCATTGAACTCCCCGTGACGAGATGCATCGATTCGATACCCATTTTATGCAAAAATATCAACTTTAAAATTTGACTTAATTTGACCTGACCTTGACCTGACCTTGACCTGACGTTGACCAAAACGTGACCTAAGCTGGCCCCAAAGGCTGCCTGACCCACATAATCGCATTTGTCATGTAAAATGGACCATAAAGTATGTATCACACGACACTTTCATATTGTGACCCCCCAGTGACCTGACCTCTGTGACCTGACCTGGTATCAGTGACCTCAACTAGCAAGTGTTTGAAGAATATTTCCCCATCGATGATTTTCAATGAAATGCATTTTACTCGATTTTACAACGCATTTCTTGAAATGCCTGTAAACGGTGAAAATTGGACCTTTGACCTGACCTGTGACGTCATCGGTTTGACCTAGGTCAATAAAATTGGGTCACAAGGTAGTTCCCTGATAGGGCTATCCAACACCGTTTGCCGCTTGTCGCTAGATTGCGTGGTTCTCGAGATCTTAGGGGGGGGGGCAAAATGGCCCCCCCTTCCCCAACGGGGCGCGTTGCTCGGCAGAGCCCAACGGGGCGCGGGTTAAGTTTTACCCTGTATTTGTCATTTTTCAATTTGTACCCTGTGCGCTTGCAAGAGTCATACTGTTTTTTAAGCCAGTTGGTGTGGCTGCAACAGCGCTGAGGAAATATGCGGATCAACCCAACACCCAGCCGTTTTCTCTTTTTTAATTCCACTCGCCACTTGATCGAACTGTCGCCTTATCTGGCTGCCTCTCTTCTCGCGTTTCCCGCTGGAGGCGGCACCCTCCCCCTCCTTATCGGTCTGCTCTCTGCCTCTCTCCGCTCTCTGCCTCTCTCCGCTCCCTGCCTCTCCCCGCTCTCGCCCGTCGCGAGTGTGGTGTCGCGGCCGACGCGCAACTCCGCCGACGGTGCCCGACCGACGCCGTCGCCGCCGACGGAAGGTCGTTAGTCGTCCCGAGGAGCGACGCTGGTAGCAGCCGGCGACGGCAGCGACGGCGTCACCGGCGGCAGACCGTCGCCCGGCGTCCGAGTGCAGCTCCTGGTAACAACGCGTACGAGTGGACGGCTAACGGTGGCTGGATAACCGATATATAGCGGCCAGTGACAGTGCTCCCGGAAAATTAGATCAAGCGGTAGGCGCACAACCTAATAATCCGATCTTCTGTGGGCTCCGAGAACTATCGGAAGATTTGGAAGATTGGATTTTGCTTTCTGAGTGAATTGCCGATTTCGAAACATTGAATATCGACGTCTTACCGACAACTGTGTGTGAATCGTGCAGTGCATTGCATCGAGTCCGAAAACACCTGTGATTTGCAACGTCAACTGGGTGACGATCTGAGAGTCTCCATTTCAGGGTGTTGCGCGCTGGCCGTGGCGGACGTTGTGTCGACCTGCAGCTACAGCTCGGGTGCCGCTATGGAGGGGTGCGGTGATGCAATGTGACGGTACAGGCGCCACCGAGTGCCACAGCCGCGGTCAGTGCGGGGCCGGGCCGCTGTGGTAGTGTGGTAACCGCCGGCCGGGGCCCGCGGCCGCCCGCGCCACGCGCCGCTGGGGTCCGTCCGCAGCTGGATATGATCAGCCCGGGGGGATGATGGTGCAGCGCGACGTCAGGCCAGCGGAGAGCATCCAGTGCCCGCCACCAGCCGCACGACTATGCCGCCGACACTGGCCACTGCCATAGCGACCACGCTACTCACAATCGGTCTGCATGGTAAGAAAGGGAGATATGTTCGCCATAATGCCACTATTTTTTTCTTCACTGATTTGTTCCGTCTGAGGCGCCTGCAATATTTGTGAATGTAAAGTCGGTTAGGAATGATGCATCCTACGCGCTAAGCCCCGCTGATTACGGAAAAGCCCGGTTTTCCCTCTGCCGTGATGGCCTAATGAGGTGACTGTCAGAACTCATAAATATGAAATGTTCATTAAGCCCGGCTTTGCTTGCTTGTGTTGAGCCAACCCTGCTAACTTGTTCTGACACAAAAGAACTTGAAACAGCTGTGAGCCGGTCCCCCTAAATACAAGGCATATCCTGCTAAATTGAATGTTTTCTTATCTAAACAAATACCGCGGATGATTTACATTCTGCTCGTAAATGAATTCAATTTGCTTCTGAATTGTCAATGTAAAATGGGTTATCTGGTATTGCATACTTATTGATATAGGACGTAGGCATTATAGACTGTAATTTTTTTTCCCTATAGTATCCGGCCACTTTTCACTAACAAAATGCGAGTAGACTTGAAGTCTGCTCGCATTCTGTTAGTAAGAAGTGAAGTCTATATAGTCGCATTTCGTTAGTGAGAAGTGGCCGGATAACTAGGAACTTAGTTAACATTTTTACAGTGTAGGTACTGGCTCTTCTTGCATGTGATAAAGTTCTATCCCTTCATCTGTACCAGTGTGTCTTTTCGGCATAGATCCTTTACACACATGACACAATAGTAATTTTCAATTACAAATATTTATATATTGCACTGCATTACAAGCCAATTGATACTTAATTGATATTGACTGAGCACTATGTATAGCTCTCGTCTATGGCACTTGCTGCAAGGATTGGGCTCTGAGAACTCCTCTGGCCGGAACTGAGCCTCAATGCGCAAATACCGCATCAGAAATTGTTTGCGGATCGGCTACCACCGGGTCGGAATGGAACTGGTTGGTGAGCTGATTGTCTCAATTCAATCCGATAGATGGCTGCATTTGCCGTTTGTCGATGATAACCTGAATATATCCGCATCGCTCAAACTGGAAGCGAGCGATAGGGAGAATTGCTAAACGCATCTAAGGTATCAATAGCCTTGTATTCATTTAGCCAGAGGGTATTGCAAGAATATAGATAACAACATCTTGCTCATAACTTGAGGAAACTGAAAAATTCAATTGATTGTGATTATTTGATTTTTGTTATTATTTTATGATTATTTGTTTTTGCAATTGTTATCATAATCATGTTCCACAAGGCTTCAAATCATCCAAACTAAAACTAGAGTGTGTCTAAAAATATAACACATAGTGATTAAAACGACTTGCAACATGGCTGTAACTTATCATCGTGTAGTAGGGGAATAATTGCACATGACATAGACCCCGTTTCCATGGGCATCACTGATCCGGATCAGCAAATTTAATCCGTATTATATTTCTCAAACTATTCGTTACATGATATAGTTTCAAGTGGATTAGGCTTATATAATCAGTTAATCCATTATTTTCATTTTCACATATTGTCTAACTATACTGGATTACCTAATCCATTTTTACTGATCAGGATCAAAGATGCCCATGGAAACGTGGTCATAGTGCTTCCATATTCATCATAAGTACTGACGGTCTTTCTTTTTTGTCATTTTTATTTAAAAGTATTATCTTTTGCTGGAGTATTTCATTTAAGTATGTTATACAAGGAGCCGGCATCGAATTGCAATTTATCCAGTTCAACAGACAAACGATTAAATGATTTAAGTACCGTGTAATGTCTATGCGCCCTTTTCAACTCCAGCACTTGGCACGGTAAAGTAATCTTTTCGAGTTGAGCGTCATCTGAATATTCTTTTCTCCCATGTTGACCGCATGTAGGTGCGAGTCTCTTATCGATTGCGTCAGGCGAGCCTGCAGTAGCGATGCCGCTTCACCCGTCTACAATCTACATGCAAGCACACTGCCTATTGCGGCCATCCGTATGGTGGTATGCAAGTTACTGTAGGTGGGAATGCGACGCGCCTGAGGACGGTCCGATGGGACCTTATCGACCCCCTGGCACGACCCTCACTGAGAAAAATCCTGACTCCGCATGACACCCTCAGGGGGAGTTCACCAAAACGACACCCCAAAACTCCCGGGTGGTACTCCTCATTACACCCCCTCCAAAACTCTCCATTACACCCCAAAACTTCCCTCGAGAAACTCTCTGTAACTCTCCCTACCGTTTTAGAAAACTCTTCATTACTCTCATTTACCCTATCAAAACAAACAACATACTCCCTGAAACTCCCTTCCATTACTCTCAATGACTCTCCTATTGCCTCATAATTACTCCCGATTACTCCATTCCATTATTCCCCAAAACTCCGTTTACATCTTCATGGTATACCTATACCTCTTGTTACTCCCCATCAAACTCACCCAAACTTCCCATCACTCCACTCCAGCCCTCCCCCCCCCCCGAAAATAAATATTGGACGAATAGCGTAACCACCCAAAGCTCGTGTACCGAAGCACAGATAAAAAATATATTTCAAGAAATGTGTATTCATAGTCCGGGGCGGTGGGAGGGTTAAAAAATTAACAAACGCTTTCGACATCCCGCCGCGGCACGCTCTCCGGGAATCCAAAAGGCGGCCTACCACAGCAGGAATGCTTGGTCTGGTGGTGCCGCTACCCTACCACCTCCTGGGCTTCGACGAATACTGCGTCTTCTTCGTCCGGCTCTCCTTTCACGATGGTGGGATGGATATTTTGCTGGCCTCCGTTGACTTCCGACGTGTCTTGCGGGATGCGCTGCAGGCTCTTCAGCTCATCCCCTGCAAAATGTTAATAACCATGAAACTATAGGTACACTTAACATTGCGTGGGAGGAAATGGAGGAGAAAGAAAAAAAGAGAAGGAGGGAAATAATGAAGGAGAAAGGGAGGGAAGGAGGGGAGGGATGAAGGAAGGAAGGAAGGAAAAAAGGAAGGAAGGAAGGGAGGGAGAGAGGGAGAAAAAAAAGGGAGAGAGAGAGAGAGAGGGGAGGGAAAGAGGGAGTGAGGAAGGAAGCGAGGAAAGATGGAAGGAAGAAATGAGGGAGGAGACTGAGAGGTAGGCAGATGAGACAAGATGGACGAGACGAGACATACGCGACCTGACGTGTTGGCACTGTTACTGCATTTCGGCACATGATGTCAAAATAATGAAAGCAAGAGATTGCAACGTTAGCATACTTTTTATGCACTACAATTTTGATAAAGTTAAGTTTCAGTGAAAGTCTAAAGGGCAAGTTAACAGCCTCCATCTTAGTTGCAGACACAGTAGGGCAATGCCATAAAACGTACCTACTTGAACGCTCAAAAAGTTGAGCAGATCGCTAAAAATAAGCTAAGGACGTTATACGCTGCATAGGTTCCCATGTCAACATTAAAGAACGAAATTCAATTATGGACACTTTCTAAAAACATACAACAATTTAGACAAAATTTATTTAAACATGCTGGTTTGTCGGTGGTTTTCGTCATTCATGGGCAGTGGCAGTGGTAGGTAAGTAGGTAACTGATTTTTTTTTTATATATAGGGGCTAGGAAAATCAAGGCTTTTATGCCAAGATAATTTAATTTTCTGGCTCTGCTTTGAAGCCCTTCAAATTTGATATTTGTCATTGGTATGGATATTAAAATAATTGGGCAATAACAATAGGATCCATGACGTGTAAAGCTTGTGTAATCCTAACTATCCAATTTATTCCAGGGAAATAATGTATGATATTTGCAAATACCTAGAAACTCAGAGCATGCTGTTTCCGATCTTTATCTCACTCAGGAACAAAACAAATCAATTACCCTTACAGAGACCATTCCAGCCCATCAAGAACATGGGGTTACCATATGTTCTCATCACAGTATTATAACACTTTGCACTATAAAAGCATGATGGGAAATACAGCTAAGCTTACCTTTAAATCCAAAGTAAGGTCCAATTATCCGTCACTGTATAGGTCAGGTCCGTCTAAGTCAACACGCTCTTCACTAACACCTCGCCCGCCGCCCCGCACAACGTGCTGTGTACTACGCGCAAAAGATGGCGGCCACCGGCAGCCTCGCGACGTATGCTAAAACCCCTTCGTAACTCCCCTTTTACTCCTGTCGGAACGTTCGGGAAAAGTTTTTCGGGAATAATGGAGAGTTGCGTCACAGGGTTATGGGGTGTCACACATGGAGTCATTTCGCCATCCATTAAGAACTCTTGAAAACTCTGTCGCAAAATGAGGAAGGCTCGAAGTTACCCTAGAACACACTCAATAACTCTGCTGGAAAGGGAGTTATCAATGGTTTTAAGGAGTTTTCAGGGGAGTATTTTCCAGAGTTTTGACCCATATGGAGTCAATTTTTTTCTCAGTGCTGGCTTGTTGCGCGGCACGGCCCTTCCACACACGTCAGCAGCGGTGCAGAGCTGCGACCATTCGTCTGAGTTTGCTGACAGGCCAGCGGGACAGACGAGATTGTCATTGGTTCAGAGTATACAAGTCCACTGCAAACTGCTGCCCCGGACAGTTTCCAGTAGCAATAATTTCAGTCATTTGTCTATACTAACCCATTAATGCCGCTTGGGTCATATATGACCGAAAAGCAAAATCTTAATGTTTTTTCTCAATGGAGGCAAGTCGCACTTTGAGGAGCTTGTGCGTGTGTTTTGTTGGATTTGTGGGTTCAGTGACGAGCGTCGGAGCCGCATAAAACTTGTGTGAGCTCGTCCAATGAAGTTTCTGGAGCCAAAAACGACGGGACTGCACAGCCGCCGGTGACTGGCAATGGCGCGCCGCCCCAAAAAGTAATATTATATCATGTTTGCACTATACTATCTGCTGAATGATAAAGGGTATGATGTATATTTTTGCCCTTCTTGTCGCCATCGGATAACTTTTTTTCCTCGATAAATATCATTGGGTCATAAATGACCCAGCCGGCAATAGTGTTGTCAATTTTCTCGTATATTGAATACAAGGGAAGCAACTGA